ATGATGATGCAAATGTGTTGTTGTTGTTTTTCTCGTTGGTTTACTTGTTGCATTGTGCACATTGACATCTGGTGAATGTTGCATCTATGCTGCTGGTTGTTGCCACTTTCATCATTGCTAGATCCTAGGCTGTTAGTGCATTTCACTTTCTGATATGCTACACATAACCTGCTTCAAACCCTGTAACAGTTGCAAGCGGGAGAACACATCGTGAGTCAGGACAAAAAGCAACTTATAGCAAGGCAAAGTGGGTGGGCAGGCGGGCAAGAGGGCAAGCACACAGCAACTCGGCATAGCACGCAGAAGGGTATGCACTGTGCAGTTCTATGCAGTACAGGCAGCATCTAGCAAGGCAAGCGGGGGGGGAAGCAACGACAGGGCGAGCCCGGCAGCACGGTATGCAGTAGTGCAGCATATAGCAAAGCAAGCGAGCAAGCAGAAACACAGCAAGGCAAGCGGGCCGGTAGCAAACACACCAAGCCACAGGTTGGTAAGCGGGACCGTCAGGTCCGTCACCGCAACATGGACACAGAAACCCGCGCCGGCTGCAGAAAGGATCAGAGCAGCCTATCACCAGCTGGCATCATATCGAAAAGCCTGCAGACTATCGTAATTCACATCACCGCCAAGAGCCAGGGGGTCGAACAATCAGTACCAGGAAAAAGAGACACGGGCATCCCGAACACAGCAACCCCCCTCACAGTGCTATAAGCACTCCTAACAAAAAAGCACTGACTATTTGGCACATCTTAAAGGTGCTGCACTTGGACACTGATGAGAGTACAGGGAGAGCACGGGGGACGGAAAAACAAATAGACAATGTGTGTGTTGTCATGTTCACTGTACACAACTCCACAAGAAAAAGCATGATTGTGCCAGACAGTTTCATCGGACTTGCACCAGCTCATCAGGAGGTTTTGAGTGAGTGAGTGTGTGCGTGTGTTTAACTAACCATTAACGCTACCACCACGCAAATCGAGGCGAGTTGCGTTCAGGGTACGTGGAGCTCTTCACACCATTTTAGGAAGACCCATACAGCAAGCCTTTGCATCACCCACACCGGGACCGTTCGAGCATCTGAACACTACTGGGTCCTTATTACCCCTTGTACCGTGACCATGGCATGCAGCAGCCTCTATCATTCACCAACCCTACTAAGACACAAGGACTAGAGCCCGAGGGCACTAAGCCATGAGACATAAACAATAGTCCAATAAGACAAAGCAACTGACAACCAGCAACAACGTATACAACGAAACACCAAGGCAAATAACGACTTCATGTCACACAGGCTGGGAGGGAAAGGGGGAGGCGGGCAGGCAAACAAACAGTACAGAGCAAGTACTAGGGGAAGGCAAATAAAAGACGACGAAGGAAAAGGCATGTGACACCAGGCAACGACAAAGAGCAAGGGCTGGAGGGCACGGAGCAAAGCAGCACATGACCTACGCACATCACGATTGAACCTCGAAGACTGTTGGTTGCCACCACCCACTGAGCAGTGGAGACAGCACAAAACAACAAAGCACACTGGGTGAAAGGCATGGGGTAGACAGATGGGCAAGCAAACAACGTAAGGCAGTGAGGGAAACAACAGCAAGACAAACGACAACAATTCAAAAACAACACCTGAAAAAAATACAAGTATACACAAAGCAAAGATTGAAAAAAATACAAGTAAAAACAAAGCAAAGACTGAAAAAAATAAAACTGATGATAGATTGTTTCGTCGGAGTTGCACCGACTCATCAGGAGGCTGAACCCTCGACAATCTGCGGAATCCCTGTATTTGATGGTTTGGGTCATACACCCTTTGACCCTTGTTGAAGGCAAACTGTCCCCAAGAGGAACATAGCAGCGGGCAGCAACCCTGTGAAGCACCAGGCAACACACCAGAGGCAACACGGCTGCACAACACCAAAAGCGACTGCAAGGAACGACATGGCACGCAGCGCGGCAGCCTTGTAGTGAAGCACAAGGCAACACAAGCAAGGTAACAGCACTGCAGGACACGGCAGGGCGAGTGAACCAGCAGCTGGACAACCGTGGAGCGGAGCACAAGGCACCAGCAACAAGGCAACCAAGCTCCAGGCCACACAAGCGGCAAGCACAGAAGGCACGGCCAACAGATGAGCAGCACAGCAGCGGAGCAGCGAAGCGCAAGGCAACACCAACAACACAGCCACACCGCACAGCGAACACATCAACCTGCAAAGAACCACCCATCAACCTGCAAAGAACCACACGCGAAGCAAGCGGGACAGGCAGCAAGGCAGCAGCGAAGCGCAGACGAGGACGTCCACACATCCAACACGGAGCAAAGCAGTACATGACCTACTCACGTCACGATTGAACCCCGCAGACTGTTGGTTCCCACCACCCACTGAGCCAGGGAGTCACTCCGACGAACATCCATCATCACCGACAGGCGACACAGACATCCCGAACCGAGCAGCCCCCATAAGAGTGCAGTAGGCACTCCAAACGAGGAACTACCGACTGTTTGGCACTACTTAAGGGTGCTCAGTTGGGCACACAAAAAAAGTTAGAAAAAATCAGGGGAAGAACAGACAACAGAAAAAAGACTGACAAACATAAAACTGATTGTGTGTGTGTGTGTGTGTGTGTGTGTGTGTGT